GGTTGGCCGTCCCGGGCCAAGGGGGGCTGCGGGAAGCGGCGCGGGCCGAGGGATGTGCTGGTCGCTGCTTCCCACAGCCCCCATTGGCCTGGGACGGCAAACCACAGCCTGTGGGAACCGTGATCGGCCAAACCTGCGGACGCGGCAGGTAAACAAACCAACCCGGCCCGCCAGGGGGCTTACCCTGGCGCGCCACGTGCCCAAGGTTGCCAATCCTTGGTCTAAACAATGGCACAGAAATTATGTATCTAAAGATACCAGACAGCAACAAGTTTTCCTTCCATACAGAGATGGTCCCTACACCTAGCCTCCGAGGAGGAAGAACTGAGGATGTTGGGGACCATCCATCCTCTCCAAACCTCAATTATAAAAATCTGGTGGTGCAAAGGGGTGCACAATAGGTAAGTTTTTTCCAGAGAGCACCTGAAGTTTTATGGCACTGGAGGTACATCCCACAAATGGGAATATGCAGAAGCCACCTTGATTTTTTTCACCCCAATTATTCCTCCATGTCATCACAATTAAATTATATGGATATGACTAGGATCTCACAAACAGAAGAATGACTACAAGTAGAGAAGTAGAACAACAGTGATGCCACAATTTTCATCTCAGTGTACCCAAGTCATAAGAAAAAGAATATATAAACACAAGAACACCTGTTATATTTCACAAAGCCTTCCATGAGACATTAGTAGATTTACAAGTGTTTCCTAGACCAAGCCAATAAAAACTAGCAAAAAAGACTGGCATTAAGAGACACTCATTTAAGCATGCATATTAAAAAGCAAAGCTGTGTATTCTAGACTTCAGAAGACTGATCAAAGAAAGAGATGCTTCACTTCACTAAAATGTTGTAATCTAATTTAGTGGTTATAACACTGCTCCCAATCACCACACTCGGGAAATCTTTATTCTTTTTGTAACATTCTACTTATAATTTTCAGCATTCAGAAGACAATTAATTTATCCAAACTCAAAAACTCTGACACTGGATTTGTAGTAAATATTTTGAAGAGATGATTGCATTGGAGAAGTGTATTTAAAATTCTAACGGGCTCATTTAGACATGAAACTCAATTTGGAATAAGGTGGGCTGTGAAGTTAGAAGGCATTAGTTATTCCTGCCTAACTCCATGTGTTGATGCTTTTTTGGAATAAGAATCCCGTTTTGAAGTAAGCTCATTTGGAATAAAGCACTCATTCTGGAAGAGGAGTTTCCACACATTGTTAATCACAAATCACTATTCTGAAATAACTCCCTATATATGTAGATGTTCATATCTTAAAATATTAACCATGACAAGTATCTCCAAACCCAAAAAAGTGTTAATTCTTAATTTTATTACTGAGAAAGTGCGGGGAAAGGGAGACAAATTTCAGAACACTTAACATTATAGTGAAGCTATTCTCACATCAATCCTCCTTTGAATAGAAAACCTAAGGCTCTGTCTACACAAGGAAAACTGTCTCTAGCTGATGTGGTTTAATACCATGATTTTAAATGTGGCAATAATGCCTAGAAAGATAGCAATGGTCACTCCCATTCCCAATTTCCTCTGTTAATGCTGAAAAGGTTTAGGTGCCAGCTCAGAGGAGCCAAGGGTTTTCAACCCTTTATAGAAAGCATGATAGGATACCATTTTACCAGATTTTGCACTTCCTGTAATAATGCTGACATTTTTTGTCCCATCTCCACATTTTTCCAGCCTCCACTGATGGGGGAATCAGGGTTACCAGCACTGTCAGCAATGGGACATTTCCCTGTTGGAGATGGAGCCTCTGTATTCAAAAGTCTTACTAGTCACTACTATGTCCAAACGGTTAATTAAGTTAGCAGAAAAAGGTGATAATGGAAGTAGAAATACTTATGGCAGAAAACTAAGTCAAAGCTAAGTAAAGAGAAAGTCCTATAGTTAGATAGGGACAGGCATTTATTCAAACTGTTTTGAAAATTAATATAATTATAACAAATCTATACTTAATACTATTTCCCGTTAAGCTTTTTTTAAAAAAAGGTTATGGTAACTGAGGGTGCAAATTCAACTGTCCTCATTTTTAGTGCTTGAAAAGCACAATATTAGGTGTTAAGTAAAAAAATCTAATAAACACTGTTAATAAGAATTGCCTTTTCTAAGTCCTGTTTCCAGACAAAAGATTTTAGATGGTTTTTCTAGGTCCCTAAACTTGAGGATATCAGTAGTATTACAAACTTTAGAGATTTTGATGTGTATGAGCAATGATGGGTTTACAGGAAGGAGAGAGAGAGAGAGAATATTAGTCTCTCCAATGGTAACACAAACTTTTGAACAGACAATGGAATCAAACTGCTCAGTACTCGTCATTTTCTTCCCAGAAATCATTATGAAATAGCTTTCTCCTGAATGCAGGGGTCTAATCTATTAGAGACTAAGTTGTAGGGACACAGTCATGAGTAGTTACACTTTGCCACAATATAACTTCTTTCCCATGTCTATTTATGTACTCTGTACTTGTGCAACTCAAAGAACAGTTAAATTTAGTTACGGTACTTTTCTAAATATTTTTAGTATCTATCAGTATGAAGTTTAAGATCAATTGTTAACTGTCCCCTCCATACCTTTTACTCATGTTAGATTTCAATCCCTTCCTCCACTGCAAATTCCTACCTTTTATTCATTTACTCCACAAAGAATACATTGTGAACAAAATAACTTGACCAACAATTTTACAGAAATTCAACAAACTATCCATAGTTTCCAATGCTGTAAGCATAGTCCCATGTCAATAACCACTCTGAAAAGGCAAAACCAGAGTGATTTAGCATGAAGACCCATGCACAGCTTATCAGGCACTTTTAGTAGGAATAGAAATAGGTTTTCCAACTGAGCTGAAAACAAATACTAATTTCAGTAGTTACTGGGAACTGTATTTTGTATGGCTTTAACACTGTTCACTTTCTACCTGATTAAGTTGATAAAAAAAAAAAGTAGTAAACCACTGTTTGGTGGAGTGTTCTCTATACCTACATATCAGCTATTGGGACTATGACTGTAGCATTTCTACAGTGCATGTGCGTTCTGATAAAGTTAGTTCTGTATCCCCCCCCAACTTTTGTTTTTAAAGACAAAGCTTAAGTTATGAACTACAAAAGTTATGACATTGCTAGGTAAGAAATATTTCACCTGCACAGGTGTTACTTTAACTGTTAGCCCCATACAGAAACTAACTACAATTCAGAGATTAGCATAGTGATTCATCACTTTAAAATTAGAAGTTGAAAACCACAAAGCATTATTGAGACAGTATTTCACGTCTCTATTTTAAAGTTCCTTTTGTAACTAGGAAAGATTTTCAACTCTGTTTGAAAACGATTTTTTTAGTCATTTTAGCAGCAACCTATGCTTGACTGTACCCAATCTCCCAATTATGTCAACTCCTCAAGTAAGAGGTCCCGGCCAAAGTTACAAACATTCAAATTCATCTTATCTCTTAAAAAAACAAACTAAAAACAACTTGGTAAAGTTGAGACGGGGAAAAAAGCTAACTTAAGGAAGGAGAGAGATGAGTTTGAATGCTTTCTTATCCCGCCCCCTCAAATGCCAGGGCAGGAGGGGAGAGAATGTTCCTGGGGTTCTTGTCTCTTTCCCAGCCCCAAAGGGCCTGGAAGTGGATTCTGCTTTGCGTCAGTTTCCCTCCCTTTCAGAAAATATGGAAAGCGTTGGCTGTGTGAATCAGTCTCTCTCCTCCCTCTAGTACAGGGTGGGGATGCATTTCATTCTGTATTACACTAGTCCCTCTTTTCTGGGATCTGGGGAGGGAGCCTAAGGGGGGGGGGGCGAAAGTTGGGGGAGGGGGGGGCTGCTGCGTGTTTCAATCCGCCATTAATCTCCTTCCCACACGCGCACGGCGCCCACGCACCGAGGCACACAGCAGCCCCTCCCGCTGTCCAGGGCAGCTCCCCCTCCCATACCTGGTAGTATCTCTGGGAGCCCCGCGGCGAGGACTTGTATTGCTGCGGATGATGCGGCGGACGCTGCTGGGCCGCGGCCGGGGGGATGCTGCCGTAGGGAGCCGAGTACCTGGGGCTGGCACTCTGCGGCCTGCGCGGGCTTTGACCCCCCGGGGACGGGCTCCCGAACCGCCCGCCGCCGCCGTGGAAGTTGTGGCCTCGGGGCGAGTAGGGCCGGTGGCCGTACGGCGGTGTGTGGTGGGGGCTACCGTAGCACCGCGGGGAGGGCGGCATAGGGCCCCCGCCGGAGGGAGGGCTCCGAAACCCGCCGCCCCAGGGCCCCCCGCCCGGGTACGGGGGCGTGGGGGGGCGGAAGCTCTGTCGGTGCATGGCCCCGTTCCGGCTCCCGCTGCGGCCTCCGAACCCCGAGCCGGGAAACGAACGAAAAGTGCGCAACCGCCCCTCCTAACCGCCAGAGACACACGGCGCGTGCGCGCGCGGCGTGCTGCGTTGCTGCTCGCTGGGACCCGACGCGCCCTGTGCCGCGGCCAGGAGGTTCCGGGTTCGGAGGTTCCGGCGAGGCAGAGAGGGAGGGGGGAACAGAATGCACCACACCAGCGTTTCCCCCAGCATCAGGGCACCGCGGTCCCTGGGGAGGAGGCGGCAGCAGCTGCCAGGGAGGAGGCACCCAGCAGGGTGGGTGGGCAAGGTTTGGCTGAAGACACCGAAGGTGAAGCTCTCCTCTTAGGAGAAGGCCCCTCGTGTTCTCACTGCTGGCTCCGCATGGACGGTGACGTCCCATCCCCAAGCAGACTGTAGCCATTAACCCACCTTGGGTTCCAGGCAGGGTAGTGCCTTGTGGCTGGGCCTACCCAAACAGCTGTGTTTTATCAATTCGAATACATATAAACATCAGAGGCACTCAGATCAACCCCTGTTTTGAACAGATCTAGGAAGGAAAAAGGACCAGAGGGAGAGCTCCCTGGCTTGGGTAGGCATCACCACTCCGGCTTCTCCTTGGCTGGTGCACTAAGAGCTTCCCCCCTCCTGTTTCAATCTACTTTAACCACTGGTTCAAAATAAGATCCCCTCTGCCCTAGTGGGTTTCCTCAGGCTTGGTTCCACTTGCTGGAAGTTCAGTGCCCCTGGCTCTTCCAGATTACTTTCTCCTAGTAGGGCTCAGGTAACCCTCCTCTCTGGTCTTTTGCTGCACAGATCAGCTTGTTGTTTTTTAAAGTGATAGTCTTACCAGTATCAGAGGGGTAGCCGTGTTAGTCTGAATCTGTAAAAAGCAACAGAGGGTCCTTGCATCTGAAGAAGTGAGGTTCTTACCCACGAAAGCTTATGCTCCCAGTACTTCTGTTAGTCTCAAAGGTGCCACAGGACCCTCTGAGTCTTACCAGTGCAACCCAATCTTCACAGTATTTATCCTTGTCCTTTCAGACATGCTTTGATTAGTGAAATAGTTAACAATATTGATATTTAAATTATCACTGGGAATCTGAGGTGTGAACTACCCTACTGAGTTGAATGGGGCTGCTCCCATATCAGAGCTATTGTTTCAGGCTCTGCAGATTCAGGGCCTGTCTACACTTGAAATGCTACAGCTGCACTGCTGAAGCACTTCAGTGTAGACACTATTCTTATATTGAAGGGAGGAGCTCTCCCATCTGTTGGCAATCCACCTCCCCCAGAGGGGGAAGCTAGGTCAAAGAATTCTTTTGTTGAGCTACCATGGTCTATATTCTGGGTTAGGTCAGTTTACTACGTCATAAAATCATAGGGTTAGACGGGACTGCGTCCACAAGGGTCATCTAGTCTAACCCCCATCCAAGACATAACTTCATTTCAGTGTTATGGTGGCTCTTTAATGTAGGTTAAATTAATGGAGAAGTGTAGCCTTTTATATAAACTGTCCAAGATTCTAGCATTGCTTTGAGAACTAGGCCTCAATGCTGCGCTGTGTGTGGATGGACCAACGCATAGCCCCATTTCTACTTCAGCATGAGCACCTAAAACTTTTTTATTACCTGTCATTTAGGTGTTAAAATTTGCAATGTTGAAGTTAATTTAATCTTTTGCATTTTTTAAAAGAGCTAAGCAAAAAGAAATTACAAATACAAGCCATAAATTGCTGCATTTTATAAACCAACCGTGCAGAATACTATTTCAAACCAAACAAAAGTAACATAACCTGTTTACCTCAATGAAGTTTAAACTATGCTCCACATGAAAGAGGTCCTAACTTTACAACCTAGTTGAGACTGTATTAAACTAATGCCTTGTTGATTAATTTCCCCCAGAATAGCTCAAATTATTGATTTCCAACAAAATACTTGTGGGAATCTGCAGCAGATATGTTCTGTGATAGGTTTACCTACCTATTTATGTGTCTACCAACATACTTATATGGTTTCATCACTGTAATACTTGAATGCCTCTCAAATACGTAAAAGTACCAAATAACAGTAACAAACTTTATGTTTCCCACCCTGTACAAGAAGCTCTGAAAGTTGCTCAACAAAAGTATGCTAGAGTTTAAACTTGGTAAACTTTCTCTGGAAAAAAATAAGATACATCTCTTAAATGCTAATTAAGTGCAACTGGTGGAACTCTCCTCTTATTATCCTCTGGCAACATATCCCAGAGGATGATCATCAGTTTCTAGGGCAGTAAGGAATTTCCTTCCTTACTGGGGGAAAAGTATAATACATTTGTGAGCTATATATTGTAAAGGACACTCTGGTAACCTTATGATGGATGCCTTACAAATGCATGGGATGAATATGCCAACTCTAGTTTTACACCAAGTAAATTAGTACAAGAGGGATTCTCCCCAACTATTTGCTCAATCAGGCAGAATAAAACTTCACAGCATGGGGCAAAATTTATGCCACTCTGGGTTTACGTGAAGCAGCAGTGCTCAGTCTGAAAAGGATTTAGCAGAGGGGTAATACAGAACAAAAATTGCTCCCCTGGGAGCAAAATGTACTAGAAAGCCACCTACGTCCCCATCTTCCCTAGAAGAGTAAAGCAATAAACCATAGTGAAACAAAGGCTGAGAACTCCCTGACCGTGACTGAGGTTGAGAGTTTTCCCCACAAGCCTGAACCCTAGTCTCCCACTCCTGAACTTCCCACTACCACAAGGAAAGGTGGTCTCATTGTCGCACTCACAGAGAAGGCACCAGGAGACATTTAGCGTCGCGCTTGCGTATTCCACATAGCTGGGAACATTTTCACTCTCCGAGAAAAAATGGGAGAGACATTGAGAACTACGCCTGCGCGGTGCGAAAGGGTGGGAGAATTTCCGTGTGGAAAGGGTAGACTGGAAGCAGCGTAGCACTGCGCCTGCGCAGTATACGGGACTGGGCACATTTTTCACACACACAGAGGTGGGAAGGGGCCGAGTCAAATCGGACCCTGACGCGCCTCCTCCAGTCCTTTTCCCCGAGTGCCTGCGGCTCTGATAGCGGTCGCTATTGCTCGCAGTGAGTCAGTCCTGTGCCTCGGTACGTAGCCTACGGTGCCTCTGAGACGTGTGATTGTCCCGGCTCGGGCTGACAGCCGCAGCAATGCTGAGCGCTGTGCTGCGAAGAAGGAGTTGCTCCTGTGTCAGGCGCAGGAGGAGTCTGTGCCCCACTCTCCCTAGCAGCAGTGGCTACCTTGTCTCGCCCCTCTGCCCTAGCCCTCTGAGAATCCTCTCCTCACCTAGCAGCAGCAGAGGGGTGCAGGGAAGCTCTCTCCAGCCAGGTAGTCACTTCTTTTAAACTCTTAATTTAATAAACCACTTGTTTTATCTGGCCTGGACACCGTGGATCGTGTGTATCATGTAACACGTGCGCAGGGCGGTGGAAATGAATCAAAGTCCAGGAGAAGTTTTACTTAAAAGTATCTCAGAGCAAGCGTCTCTTCATACTATTATTATTTATGTGTACAGGTGAGAGATCTTTGCCAAACAACCAACATGTTTCCTGCCCCAGCTATCTTAGTTTAGAAAAACACAAGAAAAACACAGCCAGAGCTGGATGATAAGGGACAAGCCAACATAAATATTTGCTTGGTTGAGAATTACGCTATACGTGTGATGTGCTATAATAATGTCGTTCATTCCCCAAAGGCGCTGAGAGCGCCACACACACAAACACTGAAATGCAACTGCCTCTAGGGCTGCAGATAGCGAGGGAAACTTCTGCTCTTATGAAAAATATGATGGGATATTTTAATGTCCATGCAGGGCATGAGAATATGACACTAATAATATCTGTCAACGATAGCAGACTGAATACACATAGATTTCTAGATCGTTTTCTTTGTCCCCTAGCATTTTAAGGAATTTTTTTAAAGTTTATCTGAAATTGGACTTGACTCTACACTCGTGCTGCAGCATTACTAAAACCATAACTGTCCTGATTGCAAATGATTATTTTTTTCTAAATGAAAATGTACATCTGGCTTTGGGGTATAATTTTCCACAGTGGCTGAGGAAGAACTCAAAAGGTTCTGATTCTAATGCAGACTTTCCAGGGTGGTCAATGAATGTATGCAGGTGGCAAAAAAATAAAGGGAGAATCATGGGGGGGGCTGGAGCCCAAGAAGAACTAATTATCAGACTACTAACAGCAATATATAGAGAATGTGTTATGCTTTTTAGTTCACTTACAAAAGCTGTTTGTTTCCATTTTATGGGCAAACAACCCATTTTGTGAGCCTCTTATTATTTAACAAAACTTTTCACTGTTTGCTGATTTCATAATGGATTCACTCTCTCCTTTCCTGCAAGCTCTATTTTTATCTTTAATTAAAAAAGCCTACTTTCTGGTGGCCATTTAATAAGCAGAATTGATTTGCTCATTTTCTAATCTGTTTCAAATACCAAATACAAATATAAGCAGCTGAACTGGAATGATCACGTCACAGCAGTAGCTTGTACTTTCACTATTCATCCAAATTGATTGCTGGTGTAAGTGTGTGCATTGATGCTGCATCTACTTACACAATGAGTAAATGTGGCCACTGGAGGCAGTCTGCATGAATGAGAGAATATATCTACTTTGCAATTCGGTAGAGGAGGGCTTGATTCTCCTCACTTGCCCAGATATAAATTAGAAGTAATTTAATTGAAGACAGTGGAGCAGCATTGGTGTAAAAGTGATGTGAGAGAAGAATCAGGCCTACAGAATGCTTCCTTTTGTCCCCTTTCTCCTATATTTGCCTCTGTTTTAAAATATAAAAGAAAACTTTAAGATTTTCAGGATTAAAAGTAGTACAAATCAATTCTACCATGAAATAAATTCTGTTTTTTTTTGTTAATGTTGTTATAAGCTACGTTAACACACCTGACACGATCCTGCCTGTGTAAAGTGTACTAAATGTAATGTGGGAGACTCTTCAGTTTAAAATACCCTCAGAGTCTACAAAGTTTGAGTGGGCCTGATTATTTTTTTCTCAATCAGAGCTACTTGTAATAGAGGTCCATGTGTTTGTCCAGTTTATTATAGGAATAAA